CTTTCGTGTCAAATTAGTCAAACATTTTCTATAGTTTCCAATCAAAAGAACCTGTACATTAAGGACATCATAAAAATTACATGTCAAGAAAAGAGAAGTATGAGAAACAGGATCATCATAATTTCTTACATTTATATGAAATTCAACATTTTAAAGATTCTGGCATATCAGTGACCCCCATAAAGGCAAGAGAAATGTGTATATCATCTACAGAACAGGAATGAGGCAATGGGATAGAAAGATTGACTGGAATACATTGAAAACTTGTATGGAAATGTAAAAATGAAAGATTCCCCCCTGTATAACTAATGTAAGTTAAAAAAAAAGAAAAGCAAAGAAGAGAAACAAAGAAAGAAGAAAATAAAGGACAGTGGAAGCAAGGGATGAAGGAAGGGAGGAAAGGAAGGAAGGAAGCCAGACAAGGTTTTGTCTGTGTGCCACTGAATTAAGTGGCAGAATCAGCTTGGGACACAGAAGCCCACTGATTGTTGGTAAAGGGTCTTTTCCACTATAGACCACAATGCGCATACCACTTTGCCTTTTTAATTACTCTTGCCTGGGGAAAACCTACCTGATGATACTCAATGTTTTTTTTTTTTTACTTTTTCATACAGAATCCCTAAAGTGATTTTATAGGGAATATAAATGAAACCGAAAAAAAAGAATGTGTGTGTGTGTGTGTGTGTGTGTGTGTGTGTGTCTTCTACCTCAAGCCTAACCTAGTAACTTAAAAAAGTTTTAAACAGTAAAACATAAACTAATTCCTTAGTATTGATATTTACCAATAAAAAGAAATTAAGGTTGAGATATGGATACTATCTTTACAGACATGTTAATAATTAGTGTGATCATCTTTGAACTGCATGGTAGTCATCCAAGATATTTTTACCATGTTTTGAACATGCACCCCTAATGTATGTTTCATCTTATTTATAATCTATATACATAGGTTCATGTATCAACACATCATAGAATATAACAAAACCAAGAAAATGGGATGAAAGAATCAACATAATACTTACTAGTTTCGATATCTCAAAGTGAATATATACAGGATGAGTTTCACGATTAATCACTGCAGACAGAAATCCATATATCATCCATATAATTTAGATGTTAGTGACTGCTTCTTGCCAGATGTAACCCAATCAAATGATCAGATATGTGCTTGAGAGTATGTGCAAAGCTTTCACACTCTTGTCTTTACAGTACTAAAATTATCTTCAATTTATGGGATTTCTTTATGGGATACTCTTTTGAAGATTCTGCTCATTTGTGAAGCTTTGTTGAATTCTGAGCCAGTACAAATCACTCAGGCCTATAACCTAGCTACCAAGGACACTGAGTTCTAAAGATCACAGTTAGAAACTAGCCAGTAAAAGATAAGTCCCAGAAACTCTTAAGAGCAAAAAGCCAGAACTGGAGGTGTGGCTCAAATGGTAGTGCTAGCCATGAGGAAAAAAAGGAAAGTGACCGCCCAAGACCTGGGGATCAAGTCCCAGTACTGGCACCAGAAAAATATACCAGGTCCTTTCCCTTCCTTCTCTTAGAGATAAGCAATATGCTAATGACTCATTCTTTCTGTAGTACTTTTTGATTTTTTTATAAGTTTGGCCACATAATGTGTGTATACCTTAGCAACAAAGATTAGTTCTGCCTACATTCATATTTATATATGTAAATGTAATAAGACCTCTATGTATTATTCTCTTTATCTTTTTTCAATATTGTATCTGTAGGATATATTCATTTTGTGTGTATAGCTACAGATATTTTTTCCATTGATTATATAGTATTTCAACATATGATCACACTTTATACCTATCTCTGAATGCACACAAATATGCATTTGTCTAAAATAGGTAGGTAGGTAGACAGACAGAAAGATAGATAGATAGATAGATACATACATACATACGAATATATAAATCCACACACATAACCTGGCCCCTATGCACATGAATAGTTAAAAGTCATTTTTTAAACCGAAGGGAAAGTAATTCTAATGTATCTCTTGGAAATCAGTTTTAGTATTAACTAATTCTTAGGCAGCCATGAAAAAGGTCATTAAATTACAGATTTACCTTTCTGTAAAGTAATTCCTATATATTCACCACACTAGGACATCAATGCATCTTACTCTTCTAAAATTTTCTTTTGAAACCTTCCAATGCATTCTTTGAAACTGATTATCTAACTCTCTTCCCCCTCCTTCATGGACACACAGTTTTTGTACACTACAATCACAATTTTCCTTTTAGTGAGGGCCAATAGTGTGAATACTGAAAGAATAAAGTGTTTTTCCAAATTTTAAAGCAATTTTTAATCAAAAGGCTTCAGGTAAACACTGACCAAGACTGTAACACAAAAATGCTAACGAGCACGACAAATATAAATAGTTAAGAGTTCATTCTAGATCTGGAGCCTCGAGTGCGTTTGTAACTATCAAGACTGTCCTCCACCTGGGATGCAGGAATGGGACACACGTAGATGGCACTACTGTGGCACTAGCAAAATCTGCCCATCAGTTGATCACTGTCCCATTGCTAACAGACAATAACTAGCACCCATTATTGCTAAGTGGAACTTTCCACATAACAACTCACAGACACTACATGCTACATGTACTCATCTGTTTAACCCTGAGACTAACATGGTGCAGTCCATACTAACATTCCTCCCATTTTACAAAAAGAATCCAAAGCACAGAGAGGGCAAGTAACTTAACAAGTCCCACAGCTATGAGGAGTTGAACCATAATTCAACATCATGTTCTCCTGGAACTTTCAGACTGTTTTTTGTTGTTTTGTTTTGTTTTTACCATACTCCCTTCGAAAATGTAAAGTTGTATTTGTTTTGTTATTGACATTGTGATTGCTATTTTGATAACAAGAATAGTTTTTTAAGGGCTAAATATCTGAACCATACAAAGAAAAAACTATGCACATTTGTTTTGATTCATGAGAAATTTGTGAAAATGAGTGCAACCAAGCAACTCTCTAATTCTGGGAAAACTAATTAAGAAATAAATTAAGGGATTCGGTGAGTACCCAAATTAGTCATTAGGGCTCGAAGATGTGGAGTTCTGGTCTAAATCCAGCTTTGGCACTTGATTCCAAAATAAACATAACCAGATAAGTATTGCAGCTCACAATTAAAATGGATTTAGATGGCTTGTGTGTTCACATGGGATAGGCCTCTTCCTAATTGAATTCGGACATCTCTTCAGTTACTATGGCTTTCATTTGCCATCTTCCTTGTTTTTCTGTAACTGCTAGCAATAGGAATATGCAGAGGGAAAAATCATTTCAATCAGTTATGTCTGAAGTACACGCATAAAAAGATAAAAGCAAAGCCTTTGAGCTGTAATTAGAAAATTCCTTAAGTGTGCTCATGTGGCATATGTTTCAACTACTACCAACTGGCAAGACCAGTTACAGAAGGGATGTCTAATGTCACCATTCTGGGGTAAGCAGCCACTAAAAGTAGTGTTCCAACATGTGATTAGAGTAATCTTCTTCAGGCCAAAGCATTCCTGCTTTCTACCTCTAATATGATTAGTGACAGATAGCTGGAGGCATCTCATTCTCCTGACCAAAAAAAAATATGATCAGAATTGTTTGCAACTGGTACATCTTTCCACTAAGTGGTTGCCTTCCAGCAGAATAATCAGAGTTTCTGATTATTTGGTATATGTTCCAAGGACTTGACTATGTCCTTGCCTGTCTTGGAGGGAAGAAGACTGCCAGATTTACATAGTTACTCTTCAGTTGCCTAGCCAAAAAACCATTTAAACTCTATGTGTGTGTGTGTGTGTGTGTGTGTGTGTGTATCTGTGTGTGTCTGTGTACATATATGCATAGAGACACAGGGATAGAGAGAAAAATGGACCAGTTGTTTTCATAATAACTCTCAACAACTCTGAAGTGTTATCATGGTGACTCAGATAGAAGAAAGTTAAATATTCTGTTCCATGCATGGAATACAACCAGTACCCACCAATGTTAATGGCTCATCTAAAAACATTACAGTCATCTTACTACTAAAGTCTTAGGTTTATGGAAAAAGAATCAAGTTTAAACATGAATGGAAATATCTAGGAGGCATTAAGGACTCCTTAATTTTGATGACACCAATTTGGAATTTATGATTATTTGACAGGATCTAGACAAAGATGATCTTTTCACAAGTTATAATCTACACTACAAGGGGAAAAATATCAAAGAACGCATGATTCTGAAATAAAGATTTTTGACAAACCAACTTGAATATCAGTAACTGGTAACAGAATAGTGACAATTTTATTTGATGTAATCTTCCTTTACATATATGAACTTGCGATACCCCAACAATTCTGCTATTAATTACCCAAACTTATCGGAGAGGAGGAAACTGAACCTCAAAGAAGTAAGTAAAGTGTAAAGACCACATAATTATTAGGCAGAAGAGGCTGGTAGCAAAGCCAGGCCAGCTCTGAGGCCTGTGTCCTCCTGTTCTTGCTCTATGCTGAGCCCTGCAACAGGTAAGTCAGACTCCCAGAATCACTGAGGCACCCTCTCCCACAGAAGTCACAAGGGCAAAATGGCTATCACTGTAAGAAAGGAAAAATAGGTAGTCAGGCTCCAGAGCCTGCTACTCTTGGCTACTCTTAAAAAATCACAGGATTATCAAAAAAAAAAAAGCCTGCTTTTTAGAATTCTTTTTATTTGCTTTTTGCAGTACTCCAAAGTATTTTGCATTTTACAAACTGATAGTCAGAAATGTGAATATAGGTGAGAAAGGGGATGTTAGTGAGATAGGAATGGTTCAGGCCCACTTCCCTTATGGACCTCTCAAGAGTGCCTAAGACCACACACTACAAACAAGAACTTTCTTGCTGAGACTCTGGAAGGCAGCTGAGACCACCCAAGGCTGAAGGGGATGAGAGGAACCCTCGGGCATGCTCCAGGAGAAGAAAGCCAAGGCAGCTCATGGAGAAGAGAAGAACAATCTCAACTTACCTGGGAATCCACGAAGATGTTCCTAAAAACAACCTGGGTTCTGAAATGTCCTGGGAAGAAAGGAAATTTGGAAAGTCAGAAAGATCTCTTCAGCAACTACATGATCTATTTCCTGTCACATCCACACAGAAGCATAGGCTCTAGAGCCTGCGAGGAAGAGAAGTGATCCTCACCCACTTAATAGCTACATGACCGGGGGAGGTGGAGTAACATCCCTGTGTCTCTTTTTATTCAACTATAGAATAGGAATAGCAAAAGTGCCTCAGAAAGTTGTTAATATGTATGCAAGGCTTCCAATACACCTCATAAAAAGTGGTTTTTTTTTTATTAACAACACAAAAACTAACATTCATTGCTAGTTTATGGAGTCTCTGACATTGCTTTAGGGAGCTCTCTTTCAGAGGCTAATTCCTTCAATGTCCCCAGGGCCACACTGGTAACACTGGCATTTGGAAGGTATCAGTAAACATGACACAGAGAGGTCAAATAACCTAATTCATGAAACTACAGGGATATAGTGGGACTGAAATTCCAGTGTGTACCTTCAGCCTGGACTAGTATTTACCTATCTGCCTAACTGCTGGCCATCACCACCACCACCATCATCGTCTTCTTTTTCTTTTCCTCTCCCAGAGAAAGATTACAAGGACTCTACAACCTCATAGAACTCACCACTCAGCCAGTAACCATATAGAGAAATACCAAGGTCTTAAATCAAATCAATCACTCACACATGCACTCAACCAACACCTACATTGGTTCTTTTTGCAGGGTGGGGAGGGGGTTCCCGAGTTGGTCTCGAGTTTGAACTCAAGGGAGAACTCTACCACTTGAACTTGGGCCACAGTGCCACTTGTAATTTTCTGGTGATTTATGGAGATAAGCATCTCCAGACTTTCCTGCCTGGCCTTGCTTTGAACCATGATACTCAGATCTCAGCCTCCTGAGTAACTAGGATTACAAGCATGAGCCACTGGTGCCCAGCTACATTGTTTCTTCAGAATCCCTAAATCTCTAGAGCTGTGTATGTATTCAAATGCTCTGGTAAAAAAATCTTAGTCATAGAGTTGACCTCAATGGACTAGCAGTGAGGAAGGTCCTCAAATGACTATGAAAGCCTCAGGAAATACCAATGCTCTGACTAGACCAGTTCTATAGGCAAGCTTCTCCACTTCAGCTGACATCTCTGAATTTCAGAAATTAGAATTGACCTAGAGGCTTAGAAGCCCCAAGATTCTAATCTACAACTCTAATTTTCTTTCAGTCAGATTAACTTTTCCTCTGAACAATCCAATTTCTCACCCTTTATTTACCTAACAAACATGAACACAGTGTCAGGAGTGTGCCAAATGCAAGATGGAACTTACATTTCATAATTAGCTCTGTAAGCATGATGAATTCTTATCACAAGAAATTCTGGCAATCAGAAGACAAGGGGAAAATGTAGCTCAGAGGACATGTACACAAACTTCCCTTGGCCCCAACTTACTCCCTGAAAACAGCCCTGCAGATCCTAGATGAATTCAGAATCTAGAGCTCCAGCAAGATCCCATGAGGAGTGGGAGTATACCAGGGTAAGCTGATTGGTAGGGTAAGAGTATCTATGAAAAATAAGGTAGAAACTGGTCAATCAGTTAGATGACTGGATTAGAAGTCAGTTTGTTTTTCTAAAACTGATAGTGCTGTATGTAGCAAACTGAAGGGATAAGAATTTTGCTTTGTTGACCATTTGATGTCTTGTGTGTGCATGCCTGCATGTGCACGCACGCATGCGCGTGCGTGCGTGTGTGTGTGTGTGTGTGTGTGTGTGTGTATGATGGAAGCCTCCTTCTTTGGGAAACATTTACTGTTACATAAGACACTAGTGACTTTAAAGACCAGTTCATCGCACTTAGACACATTTGCTTCCATAAAAATTCCTTGGAGGGAAATAATTCAGAGAGTGTAATATTTCCATTAAAAAGGAATTGATTTCAAAATATGCTTTTCCAACTTTTGACAAAAGCAATTTTCTGATTTTCTTCATGCACCACAAAAGGCAAACCTTGTTGTGTTGACAATGTAATAAATGAGTTGTCAAATAAGATATTAAACATTTATAGATTTCATTTTTAATAAAGGCTTTTAAACATACTCCAAAATATCCATCAATATTTGACATAGGAAGATGCAGTGTTTTGGTAAATTCCATTCTCTATTACATTTGAAGGCAGCATAATATGTTTATGATTCTTAGAGAGGTGAAGAATAATGTTCTTTACAGAATAATACAAGAGCTACAGTATATGATTTGAGGTGCAAAATGGTCAAGCATACAGCAGTGTACTATTTTGACAGATATGTAGATAACACATACTTCTATTAAAATAGCCTGAGCATGAAAGTCTATAGAGAATTTGATGTCAAAATTGTCTCTGAAAGGGGTTGTAAAAGGGTTCTATGCAATGGTAACATTGATGAATAAACTTTAAAGATAACTGTATGAGCTATAGTACTTATTTGGGACATATGCAATATATACATTTCATGTATATCATATATATTACTTATAACTTATAGCTTCCTTCAGCCTAGACAAAAAATAGAAATTTAGCAGTGATTATCTCATGTGAAAAACTATGGATATTTCTTTCCTTGTTTATAGTATGCTTTCTAAACTTTTATATAATGATATGTATTTATTTAACAATTTGTTTTTTTTCTTCAAGCTCTTGATACATTATGAAAAAAATAGCATAGTAGCAAGTGAAAACTTTAGAACTGACAAATTTAGGTTTAAATCCTGGCTTATCCCCTTTCTCTATTTTGATACCCTTTAAAAAGTTACTCAACAGCTTAAAGATTCACACTTCCATATCTGTAAAATGCAGGCCTTCAGCCCATGGAAAATAAATTAGGCTTTCTCACAACAAACAGTATATCAACTCATTGGTATTTATAAACTGTTGCTTCAGGACTTTGTTCATAGAAATACTGTGAGTCTGTATAGGTAACTTTCAGAAATCATTCAATTAACAATATTTAGAAAAAGAGAATTTAGAAACAATCTCTTCAGTACCCCATTCTCCTTCCGTTACATGTACCATATTTCAATCATCCAGAACCTTTGGGGGCCACCTACACCTGACCAGAAATTCTCTAGCTGGGCTGGGAGTTGGAGAAGATTAAGACAGATCCATAAAAGATAAAGCACAGCAATCACAATCAAGACTTTCTGCACATTGTTATTCCTTACCATGCAGGTGGGTATGGTGAGACTGCTTAAAAGAAGAGTGGGGAACAAGACAAGAGATTCTTTAGCTTCTTTTTAATGGTAGAATGTTAACATCTTTATCCTATTTACCAGAAGGTAGCCCAATCAGATAGGCTTATGATAAATTATATGTACTCAACAAAATATAGCTGTTGGGGATATGTGCCTTTGGGTATATGTTGTTCTACCTTGACTACAGAAAGAAATATTGATTTAACTGGCTTTAATATCAAGTCAGGTATTTGTTGACACATGAAAATGAAAACTATCAAAACCATGAAAAGCTTGATATATAGGTCAAATTCCCTTTCGGCTCATTCCAAAGGACTGTCCAAAATCTTCTGCTGTATTGCAATTGTGTACTATGGATATGTGCCTGCATCACAGATTAAAAAAAAAAGGATTTTCATTATAATGGGATTTGCCACATAAATGAATATTGGTATAGATTTTTATGTAGTACATTTATTGTAGAAAGTACAGCAGAAAAAGGAAATCATTACAAACTTAACCTCTCCCTTTTCTCAGCTCTGGAGGCACATCTTGCTTTCTACCTAGTTAGTTCCTCCTTTTCAACATCTGAATTCTCCTTGTTACTTTTGCTGTGCCTAGTAGAGAACAGACACTCAGAAACTAGCTGCAAAAGAACAAGTGGAGTAACTACTTTGTACCAGAGCAAAGGAAGGAAATTCAGAACAGTTTCCTATATAGAAGGAGAAACAACATTGAGAAACTGATTAAAAAAGGAGAATAACAAGGAGATCTAGATATTATAGTAGTCTGCTCAGGGAGCCTTGAGTCAGCTTCCTACTGCTAAGAGATTACAGAGGCTCTCATCTGAAACATCTAGCACTTGACTCATTCTCTCCCACCCCTAGGGAACTCCATAGAGACATGTCATCATTAATTGCCTTAACCGCTTTCCCAAGTATCCTCTGGTATAGTTCAATGAACTAAGGGTAGCCAATGAACAAATCATCTCCTAAAGGACTTTAGCAAAAAACCTAAGCACGACAGAAGTTTGTTAGGCATAAAAGCCAGGGAGATTACCCCATAGTTGCTGAGAAAAGGGGAAGAAGTATAGTTTCTAAGCCCTTATACCTACCTAAGGCCAAAGGTAGGACCACTGAAAAATTTCATAAAAGCCTGAATGGATATCATCCAATGTCAAAGTTACTAACTTCTAATTCTCTTTCATTCTCTAATCTAGTAACACAATTACTTAGTAGACTACAATTTTCTATAGTATAGTTTCACTAGAGTATCTTTTCATCATTTTCTTTGAATTTTTTTTTTGGGGGTCCAGTCGTGGGGCCTGAACTCTGGGCCTGGGCGCTGTCCCTCAGCTCTTCAGCTCAAGGCTAGCGCTCTACCACTAGAGCCACAGCACCACTTCCGGCTTTTTTCTTTTTGCTTATGTGGTGCTGAGGAATCGAACCCAGGGCCTTAGGCATGCAAGGCAAGCGCTCTACCACTGAGCCACCTTCCCAGCCTTTCTTTGAATTTTTATTGAAAACTAAAATACACACAAAATTTTTTCTTTTATCTTAGAAAAATACAATTGATCCAAATGCCTACTTTCATCAAAGTAATTATCGTGTTCAAAGGTAACACCTGCTGAAGCCAAACTTTCTTCTCTAGCCCCTCCGGCTTCCACTCTCAGAAGACTATGCCTTAGAACTAAGCATCCAATCCAAGTCTACAGCGATTGCAATCAAGGCACAAAATGGTATCCAGCGCAGAGAAAGAGCCTGTCCCATTATTGTTCAAAGTATAAGAAAAGAGACAGCAAAGTCTGATGAGGT